ATATAATTATGCCATACAACTATAGTATACATTTAACAACTATAATATATTTTTAACATTTCTGATCTATTTTCATAACGTTAAAAATACCAAACCACCTTATTTCAGCTACATTGATATTGCAGAACATTTGGCAGTAAATACTAGAAATCACAAGAAGTAAGCACATATTTAAACATTTTCAGTTTGTGAATGCAGAAAGCCAAAACAAAAAAACAATTAACTGCACTTTATTTTGAGGAGGGCAATACATACTGTTCCTAGTCCGGGACCTATTAAAGTCACTAAAATGGTATTAAATATTACCTGTTGAACGTGCATTATAAAACAGGAGCACAACGACTGGTGTTACACGTTGGTGCCTTCAACATAATATTTAAGTAAGGTAGCATTCTAAATTCGGCATCAAATCCGCCTTAACGCCATGAGGCAATTACACACTTCGCTCCCAGCATACATACATGGGGGACACTCTTTAATTACCTTAGCTGTTGATATGAGGGTTTACCTGTTAAACACAGTTATACAAGACAAATTTAGAATTATTTTTGGCATCTATTGTAACAGAATTAGCACGAATGCAATAGTGTGAAAACTCCTTACACGGCTGTGCTACTAAACCATCAAAATTATAGATTATATTCAAAGATTTCATTAAAATGACTACACGTGTCTTCAAATCTGCTTTTAAATTTGTATTGTCACTGTTTTAATTTTTTTAATAAAGTAATGTGAATTCAATGCATTGTACTGTACCCCTACATAGATCCTTGTATATGCAATGTATTTATGGCACAAAGACAGTGGTGTCTATTGCTGAATAAAGGATTCCAACAATTATACAAAATGAAGTTGTCAGTATCGTTCTCCTCGACTTGTGCTAATTTGTCCACCACGTGTTATAGGAATTCCCACCATATCCATGCGGAACTTTATATCCATCATGATGGCTTTTTGTTTAAGGAATGGATGCCAGAAGCATAATATCTCTAAAAACCTGATACGACATTCAGTCAACCGAAGAACGTACACAGGTGGAATCAGTATACCACTCATGGTGAAGCAAGCAGCACTTATTCGTATTGTTTCTTTTATGGGAAACTCCATTACCATTCTTGCTTCTTTATCAAAGGACAGAAGAATCAAACAAACTGCACAAGGCGTTGCCAACGCTAGTATGCATATCTGCATGATTGCTATGACGATATGTCCCTTGTATGACCTAACTTCCCCTCGGTTTCCAGTGGTATGCTGCTTAAGCGACCATACTTTATAGAAAAGAAGAAATCCACTGACTGTAGAAACTAAAACAGAAGCCACCAAGACCGAAGCCAATGGAGCAGCTATTTGAATTTGATCACTCTCAGTTGATATGTGACAACGTTGATAATTACCTTTGAATATACAACCGAACGCACTTAGTACAAGAGCCACACCCCACGTGACTATACATAATGCTAGAATACTTCTCTTGGTGAAGAATTTCTGGTAGAACCTTGGTCTGTATATGTGTATGACTCTATCCGGTCCCATGAAAGCCAACTGGATTATCGTTGAAACGTGCAGGACATATAAGAAATGATCCTGAACGATGCAATGCCGGGAAACATCGATGTGAATGTAAGTAATAAGTGTCATTCCCTTTAGAATATCCATTAGTGCCGTATTGAAAACCACAAACTTGATTGAAATAGGGATTTTCCGGCATTTGTGCAATATGACAGTAGCAAGCAAGCTCGAACACACTGAAAGCGTCGATAGAAAAGTCAAAATAGCCTCACTTCTATCGTCATTCTCTAACAGAAATGGAATCATCTTAACCGTTGGATCTTCATTTGAACATATGACAGCATCTGTTACTTACAGGCAACTACCTCGCTTAGTTATCACCGTTCTGCATAAATGTGTGATAAATACGTATTTGACGTATTAGTATCAGCTATATCAAGCTGTGACACAGCAAGGTTAAGAAATGTCATAAACTGTAACTACGCATTGGTCACCTGTTTGACGTTTTGATCAATCAATTATAAAAAAAACATACCTTGCGAGACTTTTATGAAAAATATCATGAAAATGAATAAAGATAAAATATAATCAACATCAGCAGTCTGAGTGGAAAAAAATCCAGCGAGGCTAGACCATGATTTCAATCCTGGATTTCACATTGTTATACTGCAGCTTTAACCGATTGAGCTACCTGGTCAACGGATGTGTCATGGGGAAAACTTTGCTACAGTTTACAGTGTATACCAGAAATAAAACTTAAAGGCAGACTTATGTACCTAAAAGGACCTACAGTGCATTGGGACAGGGATAATTAAATTTGAGTTTCTGACATCGAAAAGTATGGGTGCCGCTTCGGGACTTCTGTTGGCTATGATCATTTACATATATTATATATATTTTTATTTTATTTTTTGATAAATGTATCTTTCATTTATGCAATCATTATGCGATATGAATCGAAAAAATCGACTGGAGGAAATAACTTTCATAAATGGCCTCATGACAAAACTAAATATAACTTTTAGAATAATTTTTCATGATTTTGATCATTTGCTTTACTTCATGTATTTAAACTGAAAATAGATTATTAGACGGTGCAAGGATCCCTGTCAAACTGCATTGTAATTTTTCGTAATAACAGTAACCTCCCCTGAATTTCATTTTTGATGTTAGTGTAGCACATTTTGGCAGGGCGATTCCATTGACCAGGTACTTGTTTGTTTGTTTGTTTATGTTTATTTTTTTATATGTAATTTGGGTTGTATTCCCACTCTTTCACACTCGAAACATCATTATTAACTTTATTTTCTTCAACAATAACTTATCAAATCTAAAGTCATGCAAGAAAAACAGTTTCCAATGCGTGGTTAGAGTTTTTTTTTAAAACAGCGACACGGGAATCCTTAAAAGTGTCAACGATTTACTCTATTTTGTGCCTAAACGTGTGCACACAAGGACCATTGGATAGCAACCAGAAATTCCAAATCTGTACCCATCTATTATTAAACTAAAAACAAAATATAGCGTCTTGGATTTTAATATGTTTACAATGTACCTTCAGGTAAAAAAAACCACAAGGAAATTTTGGCAAATCAACTGCGAGAAATTTTCAACTGAACAAAACATATACGACTTGTTAAAAAAGATTTATTTTAATATTAATGGAAATACTTCGACGCCTAAATCAGGTTTCCAAATGCGACGTTTTACTTGAAGGCGGCTTCCAATAGCTTTTGAGCACAAATTCATTCCTATCAGATTAAACTGTTGGCATTGCTATCAAAATATGAGGCACAGAAAATTTATTATCTGCAAATTATAACTATGTATGCACAGAGATCCTTGTTGTTGTAAGCCGACAAAAAAATATCAATTTAATATTTCGCTTTAAGAAAATGTCAAGTAAACCGGATTTTCAACAACAGTGCTTCGAAAATTAATCGTCCTTCGATTCATACGTCCAATACTCAACTTTATTAAGCGATCACAGTGGTATGATATCACAAGGGAAAATTGACATAATGTCTGTTTGTGGTGCTACAAAGTTGTACACACGTTTATTACCTTTATAACAAAAGATTTAAATAATCAAAAATAGATAATAGATATTCTTGATTTCTTGGAGAACCATAGTCAAACTTAATGAGTTAGGTGAATATATTGATATTTTAAATTATATCTAATTATGTTAAATATTCAACCCGAAGGGAAATATAATTGTTAATCTTCAGGAAACAAAAATATATAACGTGTTTTTCTTTGAACCAGAGTTTCCATGAAAAGAAAAAAAATGTTGCTGTACAGATGTTTTATTGAGACGTCACATAACGGAAATGTCAAAACTTGTGGGAGGTCTTAATTTCGGTTTTGTGTGAAATAACAAGATGTTTTATTTGTCACAGTAGAAAGGTATCAGCTTCATTTCAACCGTAAAACTTTATGTTTAAATGTTAAACGTGGAATAAGTTCAATATTTGTTTATACATAATATCTATAAAGATGACATGGGTTTCTAACCGAGGTTGATTCGTGAAAGAAACTGATTGCTAAGTAAAGAAATTACTTGATGACAATCGTATATAGCGTGTTTTTTATGAATAAACGACAATCCTTCTTATGAATTTACTTGTTTAAATGAAAGTAATATACAACATTTGAAATAGAGCCCTCTCTAGCTAAAATTAACCGCTCTAAAGCGCTTTATAGTACATAGATATACAATTTATACAATGAATACAATCAGCATATACATTAATCAATATAATTTTGGAAAATTACAGGAGCTGCCTTATCAGGCGCTAACTACTAGTCCTATGCCACCTGGCTAATATCACCCTATGTGTGTATGCCTCCGTGCTACAGCACAGATACTGCAACATCCACCCCAGACCAATTTGTACTCCACCTGGATTGTTGGAGTTGTGTGGGCAGGAGAAAAAAACACTTTCTCTCAATATCCATGCGTACGACGACTTCGGTGATCGAAACCCTGCCGCCTGCGTGGAAGGCCAGTGTGTTAACCACTCGACCAATCCGCCCATACAAATAGTATTTCATATTTCTAGTGATGTTATTTTGTTATTTTAGTATTCTTAAGACGCGTGTTCCTGAACCATGTATTGATTTAGCGTTTACAAAATACAATATTATTATAAAATCATCACAACCTCTATCGAATTATGTAAGACATTCATGTCACATTATGTATAAGCTACAAAATCTGAAATACTTGTTTTGTATATTTTATACATTGTTTAAAAGTGAATCGAAACTATCAGCTATCTGTCTGTTTCTCAAAAGTTAATCGAAATCAGCAGCTAAATGACCATTGTTTCAAAGTGAATTTAAAATGTCAGGTAAAACAATATTCATCAAAAAAGAATTGATAACAGCAGCTTAATGTCTATTTATCAAAACGAAACCGAAAAAAACCCCAGCTTAATAACCGTGGTAAAACATGTATAGAAAACAGCAGTTAACATATGCATTCTATTGAATATCGTTACAGAAAACTATTTGGTTCGAAGAACCTCCAAATATAACATTAATTTTGGAAAAATAACTACTGCAATTACTACATCCGGGGGTTAATTCCCCTTTTTGAGTAATCTCCCCTCGAGTAACGTTACGTTAGGTTGTACTGAATCACTCTATATTTGAGACGGGTGGTTCTTCGTCTATCCCATTCATTCGGTCTGCCGCAGTCATGCCTGTTGTCCTACCCAAGCTGCCAGCTAACAACACAGAGACAAATAGTGATTATTATCTGGACATCTGATATAAAACGGGACTTAACTTTTTCGCTCTCTGCTCACATGGAAAAGATTTTCAGGATGACATTGACTTCCAAGATTATAAAAGAAAAAGTTGAATTAGTTCGAGATTTTTTTTTACTACGGATGATCATTTACATGTGCAGCTTAGCTTTGCACTGTTTTCATATCCACTATTAATGTAAACATTTACTGTAGGATTTCTCAAACACAGTATCGTTTTCTTAAGTGTGTTATGTATAAATTCACCGTTCTAAAGCACATCCAATCTACGTTCAAAATATGTCTGGTAAAATTCATTTGAACAACAAAACATTTTCATATGATATGTCTAAAAAATCAGATACCTCCCGTAACCCTTCCGTAGGTCAATTCTCTTTCTGTACGTATATGGCGTATATAAATAAAGCATGTACTAATTAACGAAAGTGTTCATATATATGTTGTTTATGTCACTGGTGAAAAGGTGACATATTCATAAAGATAGTCGATGTTTGTCACGAAATCGTTATATAGTTATACATATATGGTGACAGTTCCAAAAATGGATAACCAACTCTTCATTTAATTCATTTATTTAGCACGAATTATATCCAATTACATGTACGGTTGCTTCAAAAGAGGGGTTGTTCTTACCAACCAAATATGTACCCCGGGGCTCACGTTAGATATTTATCTAACACTTCAACGTCAACAATAAGCATTTTCGGTTATTTGCAAATGTCAGAACCTAAACGAATCATGGCTTGAATTTTAAAATATCTTAAAATTCAAATTAAACTTTTTTCAGTGTTTTTTTTAATATTTTATGAACTATAAAATTTGTATGAATACAAGAATTTCTAGAAGGTTGAATTCATTCTTACAGTTAGAAACGGAATACATCGACAATCTTATCAAAGTTAAGTGATCCTGATTTGGTACTGATCCGATTTGGGTCGTCTCTCCATGTTTATTTACATAGCTGATAGAGTCGTTCGACTGTTATATATTCATACATACCTGGCGCTGACATTGCAATCGCAAACACTTTCCTTTTCTCTACCTTCCTTTCCTGTAATTGTATTTAAATAAAGAAAATGTTTAGAGCAGGCATGTGAACAGACCAGCTTTCAATTTCAGTTTCATTTCTCTCTTATCTCATTTTATAACAAAGGAAACAGATATTGATGTTCATAAGAATGTATAATAACGTACCTAAACGACCATAGCTGCTAATAGGATTTAAAACATAAACAAACAAATCAATATTTCAAAATTAAGTCAGCTAAGGTACTTACAAATATCAGCTGGTTTCTTAACTGCCTGGCGAGGTCACTGTATGAAGATGCGCGTGTTTTATAATACAGTCCAATCAGTCTGTCAAAATAGAAATATACGTGCCACGAATGCAGAGCAATAACAATGGCTACAATATTTTACAAGACAATTATCCAAGTTAAAATACAGTGATTACTTTAATTACTACTGAAACAATAAAATAAAATACAATACAGAAACTACTTAACAAAACATTCGCTAGTTCGCATCACAAAACGCAATTGACGTCTTAATACAAAACAAACACTTCTGAACATTCAAATACAAAAACTGCTTCAAATCAAAAATGTGTTTTAGAAATCATAAATTGGTGATAGATAGTTAACAGCATAATAATTTAGTGAATTGGGTGCCGATAAGATAAGTTTTGATGGCGCATTTTTTTTAGAAGTGATGTTACGCACATCAAGAGGATGATAACTGGAACAGCAACAGCAGTCGTGCCTATGTAGGACAGTGTATCGTCCAGCCAATCTGGCAAGTCGCCAATACCATTTGTGATCGACTGATATACATATTCCTCTCTCCGGAATGGACCGCAATCCCAAGATGGCGTAAGTCTGTATTAAGGAAAACGAGGCATTGTTAACAAATGTTGGTAAATAGAATAAAAATTGTATATTTTATCATGTCGCTGATGTAAGACATTTTTATTTGTTTAAAACCAAGTACTATTTGACATAAAATGCGTTTACATATTCCTCTGGTAAAATAGACCATGGGCGTGATGCATTCTTCAAAACGCTTTCACTTATTGAAAATGTAAAGAAGTGAGCCGTGTGCAACTTGTCTTGGATGAAATAGATTTTCCGAGTAAAAGAACACGTGTGCATCACGGTTTAACTTGCATAACTTCCCACTAAGCTGCTGCGTCCAAAAATATTGTATTAGTCCTGTGAGGTTTGTTGGTGAAAGGAGAAAAAATGTATTCACTCCAATAAATACAACCTAATTTAAATAATCGGATGATTTTGGTTTCGTTGCCTTATGCGCATTGATTGTTTTCTTACAAAAAGATAAATTCGGTTATATTTACATGTGGACGAATAGATATTATCAAAACATGTACATATATAACTAGGGATTCGTATTTCCGGTATTTTACAATTATCGGAGGATTTTAACGATAAGTCATTTTTTTCTTAAATAATTTCTTATATTCTAGTGGTTGAACATCCGATGCTCACGCAGTTGTATGCCTTCATTCTTTATTATGATAAACACATGAATGATGACGTCATATAACAAAAGATCGTATCTGATATCCCAAAATTTTCCAAACTTCTGAGTTATTCAGAAAACAAGCTGTATGTTCAATTCGAATGATGCCTTTCTTTCACAATTTGTATATGTCGAGACTTAAACTTTCTTCTTCGGAGTAAACAAATGTGAATTAGTATAATTTTGATATGACTAACAATAACAAAATATAATAATGTGACATGTGTAACCGTTTATTTCTAAGCACATTTAACCAGAAGTAGCAGTACAATTTTTATTGTCTTAAAATACCGTTTTTCAACAAATATGCGTAAACATTTTATGAAAGTTTGCCTGAAGATGTAAAAAATCATTTTCAAAATTTTAAAATTTTAAAAACGAAGTGCATAAGTGACAATGACCTTTTATGCTACATGGATCATATAATGCGTCTGTTTAGTCTATGTAAACTTGATTATTCATTCTCATTTTATGATGACGTATTCTCACTCTATGATGACATATACTCACTCTATGATGACGTAGGCTTGTGGCAGTATGCAAAGAAACCACGTCAGGAGAAGCAAGAACAGATAGAAGTTGCCTGACCTTGACGCCCGGAACACACGTGTAGGGGGCTTTATTGCAACACGTGCGACGAAGTAACGGAGGTAAAACACGATGATGAGTTTAATTGACCCGACGATAGCGATGACAGGGGAGAAGTAGAGACCGAGCCAGACAAGACCTTGACCGTATATAAGTTCAAGTACGTTTGAGGACACAGCAAACTTACTCAGCTTTACCTGAAAAATAATTATTAGTACAAAAGACTTATTCTCTTATTACATATTATCAGTCTGCAAATCAGTCAGCAATACATGCACACCAAATCCAGTACAATGTAGAGTAAAATCTGCTGTACAAAGCGTCAAGACAAAAAAGGACAAAATATTTCACAGCGTCAACACACGAGGACAAAAGAGTGCACATTGACAACACAGTGATCACTCACAAGAACAATGTACTGGGAACTGTATGTAATTCTTTTGTATGCTTCTTTTGAGGCTTCTTGTCATTCACCCAGCACGTTTATACATACACATACACATACAATCATACATTTGTACGTGTAATATATATGAGTGTTGACGAATGTTGCTAGGGTTGGGGCGCCCGACGTCTAACCCAATGAACAAATGATGTCCTTCAACATTGGTGGTGCTAGTTCGCTGTTCTAAAGCCTTACTGGGCAATGCCTGCTATTCTACCGAGCGTGGAGAGTATGCTTGACGATCGCGAAAGTAAAAGCATTATGTGTATCAGAGATTTGTTTTTTTTAAAGTGACATCATCACTCTATAGTAAGTAGATGTTTAGATCTGAATCCGAATATCAGGAGTAGTTGCATAGGATAATTTTCTCAAACTGTCGTCATTAGAAGGCAATATCTATATATATGAATATGAAATTATGAGTGAGTTTTTTCTTTGAAATCCTTGTATAAATATTCTTCTGAGTGTTGGTACAAATGGTGTTGCATTTATTTCCCATAAAAATATTGATAGTTTGTTGAACATTTCTTGCATGAAGCATGCTGTCAAACATTTTGATAAGGAGGACGGTTTCATCCTTTGTGTATTTATTGGATGCTGTGTACAGCATTCATAGCGGTCCTTGCCAAGCCTGGGCAAATCAAAACCAAACAACAGACTTTCTTCTTCCACGGAAGAACTTTAAATGCTGTGTTGATTATTTCATAGTATGATTAACGGTATAAAATGTTGAAATACATATGAAAACGATCAATAAATCAAAGAAAAAATGTTAAAATTTTACGAAAAGGCGAGTTTTTTCGGTGAGCATCATGAACTATATCAATCTCAGATTACTACGCTTTTTGGACCGAATAATTTCTTTACAAAAAAATACACAACACTTTATCTCTAAGATCTTTAGATAATGTGTTCATTATTTCATGATATGATCAATGCTATAATATGGTAAGAAATATCTGTATAAGAAAAAGAAAAAAATCAAAGAAAATATGTAAAGATCTTTAACAGTGGCGTTTTTAATCAGTGAAAGTTCCGAACTATATTTGGTTCAAATTACTACGCCTCGTATTCCAATACTCTAAAGTGTGTGTGTAAAAGTTTTCTCCCCTTGTCCATGATTGCGTAGTTTCATGCTCGCGACTTGTTGAACGACTGTTTGATAACTGTCCTTGATAAAATAGGCTTCGTGTTTTCTTTTTCTCAACGGAAAGTCTCCAAGTGAAAAAGAATGTTGACTTATACTAAAGTAGCCGTCAGCAGCTGTGCCTAACGAGTTTATAGATAGCTTCCCAATGCGACAGCAGCTGTGCCTAACGAGTTTGTAGATAGCTTCCCAATACAGTCTCTAGATAATGGCCAGATAAGTATAATATAAGTGTTCGTGAATATAGCATATTGAACATCAAAAGTTAAAACCGTATATACATCTTACTACATTAACCAGAAACTGAACAATTATATAGGTCTTTAACCTTCGTTACAATATCGAGAGAAGGAGAGATACACAAGGGACTTGCATAAGTCCGTGATTACACGCACTGGAAATAATACAATCTCGTTTTATTTTTTTGTATAATTAATCATGATAATAACAATTTGTAATAATAATATCATAATTATCTATTGATATTATCTATATAACTTTTTTACTATTATTTATTTAATCGTTAACTTTCCCATAGTCATACGGGACAATTTTGGATTGCAGGGTTGTCTGGTCAAGGTCACTGTTACTATTTTTAAAAAGATCATTGTCTGCGCCGTAGCACCTTAATTCCTTGAAGGTTTTCCATCGATTTGAAACACTAATTAAGGACCATATTATAAGACAAGTTTCAATTGCATGGCTGTTGGGTCAAGGTCATCGTTACTTATATTTATACTGCTAATGGTAGCCAGTAAGGGACTTATATTGTTTTAGCATATATATATATATATATATTCTTATAGAAAATCATGATTAAGGGATGGGCTATTATGACCCTCACTCAACAACATGTTCTTTATTATTTACTGCCATTCTGTACTGATATACCACCTCCTTTATTCCATTATTTGAATCATTCATACACAGCATCCATGAGTGCCCTCGGCATTTTGATGTTTCCTTGTTTACAAAGAGATGCTTAACACAACTTTCTTTTTATTGACAATAAGATAATTGAGACGGTCTTTGTTCGTTCTTTAAGGACAGGGACAGCAAAGCCAAAATTTGGAGACGGGATTTCAGTTTAGCATTATGAGTGGTGGAACATGTATCTGGAGTGGGTAACATTTTAGCTAGAGTTACTGTGGAAATATACAGAGTCAAAGTTCAATGGAAGTACGCATACGACTGCTGTCGCTGCGTGAATTAGTAATAACATAAACATTGAAGATTGCCTTTCGTTGCGGTAAGGACGGTTGTACATAGTTTGGAAACGGGGTTTGTTCAACAAGCGTATAGGCCTTCAGTAAACTGCCGTTTAAAGGGAATAATGTCCTAGTCAAAAATCAATAAGGAAGACAAATCTGAATTACGTTTTAACATTATATGGCACTCTCATACGTATGATAGACATGGCCAATAGGAGGGTACATAGTTTGGGCGAAAATCAACGATTGCGTAAGTTTTTCAATTCCAAGAGTGAATTATTTCTACCCTACAAACTTTTCATATTATGATAGAATTATTTTCTTATATCGCTCATCATTTTATTTGGCCGAAGTGTAAGCCCCCATCTTGTGGCAAATACCAACTTGTTTAATACTTAACCGATTTTAAAATTATCTATACCATTGGAAAAAGCGCATCAAATTAAACTCCAAATTATAAATAGAACGGCAATACATGTTGATAAAAAACTTAAACAGGAGAATAAAATACTTAAAATTACAAACAAAATTCTGCAAAAAAAAAAAAAATGACGTGCAACATGCATGGCATGACGTCATCTCATTGTCATTGCATTGTGATGTCATTCCCATGTACATGTCAGATAAACGCATCTTACCCAGTCGAAGCAATGGCCTGATTTGACCAGTATGGCTTTGAGGACGTAGAAAAACAAAGCAACGGCCACACAAACTCCAAGGTCAACCAGAATTAGCTTGAACACTTCCTCCCCGACCTCGTTCTCCCAGCAACAGAATGTTCTCTACAAGAACAAAACAAGCAATAAAAAATCCAGTTTTGACGCTAAACATTGCATAGCTTGCATAATATGTACTAAAATGGTGTAGGGGCGAGGGAGACAATACACAATTGTTTTATTCACGTTTGTGTAACTAACCCAATTACATTTTATCAAATAATTTGTCTGTCTGCATGTATATATAACACCTTAATTAAACCGTAAATAACAAACACATAAATATGATAAGGCATACGTGTCTTTAACTTCGTCTGCTTCTGCCAAATGTAACTCATTACCGTTCCGAATGTTTCGATGTCTTATAATTTTGTTTCTACAGATTTCAAAATGATGAGGGATGGTTGACCCTGAAAAGTCTTACGCAGGAGAAAAATATCATATTTCATTTCAATTTTTACGTCCTTTGATCAATTTAAGTCAATCAGAAGTAATATAGATGCGGTATAATCATTTTTTATTAACGACAAAAATAAAGTGAAAACACTTTACATTGGTCACGGTGGTATTTTCGCCAATATCACTTGGTAAGGCCATGGAATTGTCAAGGCAGTCCTTGGTGACGTTGTATAAGGAGTAGATGAAAATTACCAGACTGGCAAAGTAGAACAGCATCGTCCTGTAATAACCAGACGAGAATAAACCTGTGTTGAAACTTGCAAACTATGTCTTCCCTCTTCATCTTTTGAGACAACGACAAAGTGTCGTGCTGGACCTTATTCCATGGTTTTGAATTACTCTGTATACATTTTACTAGAGTGATGCGTTCTACTATTCTCCGGCAAAAAAACATAGGTATTAATTATTTGAATTACTGTCACCTGTACAATTTAGGTATATGTGCAATTCAGTTAAGTCTGTATTTAATAAAACGCTAGTACCTTGTTAGTGTTACTTTCTGTTCAATCCGAGGATGCCACGCCTCCAATTTACCGATAACCTGGAATATGGCAGGAACTATCAGTTTGAGAGCGGCCACCACTGCAGTTAACTAAAAACAAAACAAGCAATAAAGAAGAATAAACAAGTCCTGCTTAAGTGATCACGGAGAAGAAAATATCTTGTTATTTTAGTATTTATACAAGACTAGATATTGATGTAGCCGAATTTTATACAAGTATAAATGCAATTCATTCTCTCATAACACCGAAATGTGCTGTTTGATCCCCCCCCCCCTTTTTTTTTTTTTGGGGGTGGGGGGTGGGGGGGGGGGGGATGAACTATCAGTTTACTTATTTAGATAAGTCCATGATTAGTTTCAACACGATTTTCTTAAAAGTACTGACTTGGTATCTGGTGAAGATATCCTCTAAAAAATCTGGGGAATCCTCCGGAAGTTCGAAATCATGTGCAATATAGTAGATCAAATAGCCACTTCCTCCAAGCATTCCGAGGACCAAGATATTGGACGCTAATCTGCCCATCACTCTAGCCAGTCTGCAAAAGATCAGTTAGAGTCAATAAACTTTTAACCAGATATATATCTTTTTCTAATTGAGTACTTAACGTACTTTGTTGATCTTACTTTTGCTACTTACATTACAATCCATGTTTTATACTTACACAGCAATCCATGTTTTATGCTTACATAACAATCCATGTTTTATACTTACATAACAATCCATGTTTTATGGTAACATGACAATCCATGTTTTATGCCTACAAAACAATACATGTTTTATACTTATACAGCAATCCATTTTTTATACTTACATGACAATCCATGTTTTATGATAACATGACAATCCATGTTTTATGCTTACAAAACAATCCATGTTTTATACTTACGTGACAATCAATGTTTTATGCTTACATAACAATCCATGTTTTATGCTTACAAAACAATCCATGTTTTATACTAACATAACAATCCATGTTTTATGATAACATGACAATCCATGTTTTATGCTTACAAAACAATCCATGTTTTATACGTACATAACAATCCATGTTTTATGATAACATGACAATCCATGTTTTATGCTTACAAAACAATCCATGTTTTATACTTCCGTGACAATCCATGTTTTATGCTTACATGACAATCCATGTTTTATACTTACATGTACATGACAATCCAGGGTTAATACCTATATAACAATCCATGGTTTATACTTACATTACAATCCACGCTTTACAAACATTACAATGCAAGATTATAATCACATTACAATACATATTTTACTTACAATATAGTCCAGGCTTTCCTCTCATGACTTTTCTCTTCTCGTATCTTTTCCTGTAATCAAAAACATTTTTCTGACACTTTTAAAGATCAATAAATCGTTTTCTGTTCCTTTCGCAAGTTCCAGTTTATTTTTTTCTGTTAAAATAGACTAACCAATGGAAATAGCGGTTATCTCTGTTGACTTAACACATTTAAGCATTGACTTGGATTTATATGATCGTTGTTGCCAATTGTTTCAACCAAAATATAATAAGAATTTAGTGTTTAAGATAAAGAAAACCAATTTGTTAGGATACAAAGCTAAAGAATACCTGATGATATATTTTATAAATATGTCCATTTGACTAGGGAACAAAGAATCATGAAAAAAAATGTATTTTGTCATTATACATACAGCGGCTTAAAATGGAAACACAGGCCGGTATTGGTATAATTTCTGTCATTTGCAATGATGAGATTACTTTTTTAAATTTACTTATGAACTTCAAATAAAAGGTTTTATCAAATCGGCTTATTTTGAATTCATACTTTACATGTTTGGTTGTTTTTACACTTGAAGATAGGTGAGTAACTAACTTACCGTTGTTATGACTATATTTTGAATACTAAATACTAATATTAATCCTTACACTTTCCCAGGAATACGAGGAACATGTTGTATGTTGACATGGGACAGCTATTCCGTCTTTGCGTATTGCAGAGTTATCTTCTCTTGGGAACAGGTATACCTGCTCCCAAGAGAAGATAACTCTGCAATACGCAAAGACGGAATAGCAGTTAAAGTCATTAAAGAGCGTGCCTGAATGTGTGTTATGTATGTGTTAGAGCATCAGGCGGCCTTTTGGTGAATTGGCCTCCTTCCGATAGTACGGACTGAAGCCGATTTTATAGTGCTACCTCACTGAAATACCTCACCGAAGGTACTCATAACGGTATCCCACCTGGTCTCATCATACTGACAAAGCCTTAATCGATTGTTGCTATTACCCTAAATTCTAAACGTTCATAAGAGACTTACAACTATTTTGGCGAGCATTCAACACTGAGGCCAAAAGTGAAGTATTGCCAAAAATGCGACAGGAATAAGATCAACTTGGAATTAGAGAGAAATTATAATGGTCCCAACTTTTGAGTTGGGAGCAGCAGATTTAGTTTAAATTCAAATGACCATCAAAGGTAATTGAACAAGCTATTGATCGCAACTCGATTTAACAACTCTACAAAGGAAACAATCAAAGTTTTTTTTTTTTAATTTATTAATTATGGAAATATGAAAATACTTCTTATTAAAATTCTCTGTATGTTACACGTACGATCTTGTCTAACTAAGTTTATTACGCATGTAGAATCCACAAACGTATTATCATTGTTTCATTCGTTATCACGTTAATCAAATATTTCTGTTAAAACACATATCAAATATCCTAGTGTCTTTTCAATTTGTGCAGAATTTATTTATTTTATTTAATTCCTCATCTCGGTCAATAACACAATAAAAACAGTGACAAAAATTCCCGTCAGACTCCATTTGATTAATTCCATCAAACTTAATAATAAAGCATATGCCATCAACTTCATTCCGGATTAACGCTAAAAAATAAAATAAAGAAAAAAAAACCGTAACACTTATCCGGAATATTGTTTACTACCCTTAGCCTCTAAATCATATAATAACATACATGTATATCCGGTATACATCTATAGATAATACATTTTGTCTCGCTGACTCCGTGACAGTTGACGATAGGCTATTGATATTCAACTAAATTGAATACGTCATGCCTCATCATAATATTGCGTTAACTTGTAGAGATGGCGCATGGGGGATTAATGCATGTACGTGGTGATAACTTGATGTGTATTTAAGGTATAACTGCGGCATTAATAACCATCTATAGTACAAAAATATTCTTATTAAAGTGTCTTTGACAGATGACAGTAATGCATGGTAATGGGTTCTCCACAAATTCCAGAGATTGCCTGAAACACCCGAATGCAATTACTCTTACCTTGAGCTCCATGGTGAATGCCCGGATGTGGTCACATGTTCCAGACCTAGTAGTTAATCCGTGGTCCCAGGAACAGAACGTCCGATGAGAAAAGTCGTAATTGTCGTCCGTAACAGCCAGTTTACTACGTCGGTAGCGGACGTTCATACTTATGTAACAGACAGACATTTGTAACTTAATATTCTTTACATGCAGATTACAAAATAATGACGAATGTATATATGCATTTGTCACAACGCAAAATACAGTAAAATGACTTCCGTTAGCTTTAATCATTCAAGTATTGAATTACGCAAAGGAGTTAGTGAATATCTATTAATAATGAACTTTTGTTGAGGTGAATATATGGTTATGTTTACTAAGTCTCGGTGACGTTACAACAAAAGTGATGTCATAAAGTGAATACTGACCTGTTGTTTCTAAAGTAGCAATAGTAGTGAATTCATGTAGTAACATATATCAACACCTGACCTTATCTCGACCATTCAGAATACAGAAAAAATAGCCTTATTTGATATTGATTGAGGATAGACTTTAATTGAGTAAGTGGTTAAATGCACATCGTCTCGGTCAATATAACTTTCAGGTTATAATAACACAATTTTTTTTTTTAATTGAAATTATTGAATTTGTAATGTTTATTTTTTATTTTTAACAAGGCGATGCCTAAACAAAAAGGTAAGAAAAAAACACTGAATTAAACATAGAACATTGTGAAATTACAATTGAAGTGACGTCATAAAAATATTTTTTAAAAAGAAGCCTCTTATTAAAAAAAAAAAGTAGCATCGACCTCGATGTGTTTATGATTCAACCTATGATGATATAGGAAACATTGTTTCATCAAATATTACCGAATATTGGTACAAGGTCATTTACTAATTCGGTACCTGATACCAATGGCAATCAGTGTTGTCACGCTCACAGCAAACCACGTGAGCAGATAAGCCAATGGGTGCTCGTAGTTGTTGATTGTTTTGTTGCTGTAAGCGCCATAAAACATCAGACTGCCAGACAACTCGCCCTACAAATAGACGATAGTGTGACTATTAAGCATAAGGCATTTAAATCACCATAATTATTCCGACGATGTTAATTACACAGACATTCTATCACTTTGATAACATGCTGTATTACGTAATCAAGTATGTCTATTGTATCGCATGTACTTAAGGGAGGATCAGGTTAATAGATAAAATAGAAAAACAATTCTTGAAAAACATTAGTTAAGTTAAATGAATGACCAGTCAGGAAACTGACCAGTCTCGTTAATAACACACTGAAATTATAAAATATTCAGTTAAGATTTAAAATTACTTTCTTTTTTTCGTGCATTGATTTTCTTTCTCGCATTCTCGTTTCGATTTTGTTTATTCTCTGTATTCTACTATTGATTATGCGAAAAAACATTTTTTTCTGCCCGACCATTTATTACGAATGAAACATGTTTAAAAAGAAATCGCTGATTTTTTTTTCTTTTTAAGCAATTAACATTGCTAACCTTTCCTAGAAGATGACAAAGTTTGTATTGTAGTTTTTATTGCAGGATTTTTTTCTTGGATAAAGATATTCTGGTTCTAGTTGGGAGTCATAGTCCATATGAACTCTGACGGGATTTTTTATTTATTTTTTCACATTCAGCATGCAGCTTTTTGGGCTTTCAATGAAATTTGCTGTTTCCAGATGGCATTCATATATAAAATAAATACCATCTGCAAGCAGTTCAATGCTTTAATAAAGATGCATTTTGATTCACAAAAAGTCTTATCATTTATTCTTCATACCATGCAGATAACAACATCTTGAATTATCCATTTTTATGATTAATTTTATTAGGCAATATCATTTAAAGTGCTGCGCATAAGGGAAAAAATCCTCGTAAAAACATCGGTTTTAAATCACACACACACACACAAAGAGGAAAACATCGATTTTAGCGCAGATGTACAAATACAGCAGCTGATCGCTAGGTCTGTTTCGATTTGTTTTCATTTTTATGAGTGGTATAACTCCGCGGAAAACTACATTTGTTAAGGTGATATAACTGTTCAAATTTATTATCCATATGGGATTCACGTTTTAATATCCATCTTTAGAAGAAGAAAAATAGCAGTATGATAAAAATCACATTTTAAACGAATGATAATATCAAAAACATTCTGCAGTAAATACAATATTCAATATGTTTTCTGGCCAATCCAAACGATCGCCGTTCTGTATGCGAAATGGAGATTGTACTTTCTCGTTCAGGTTCAACTGTAATATGTTCATCACGTTTCCGTAAGAACTATTTTTTACAACAATAACAACAAACAGGAATGATTTCATCTAGCAAAAAAATACCGTCGTTCAACGTTGTCGTCGACAAATGCAACATGCAGTTTTGAGATAGGCGTTTAAACAAAGAAGTTCACAAAAATGCTATAGAAAACGATTTTGGCGTAAACCATTACAATTATTAATACAAGTTAACTTACAAATGTCCCTGGTATTGTTAGGTTACTTTCGGTTTCTTTATCCACCAACTGCAGAAAAAAAACAAATACCATTTTACTCATACAAAATAGATTTGATTGGGGTTTAAAATACAAAACATTAATTACAAATCAATTAAAAAAGTACAGATCTAGATACACAATCTGATCCATTCCATCATGCAGGTTTGTGTGATGTGTCCCACTGACTGTTAAAGCAAGAGGCAACTTCTTGTTGCTTTTGCGCCGGTGTATTTTGGAGAAACCAAAATTGATCTGCTTTCCCCATTGTGATACTTATGTCCTCAACATTTTCTTTTCTCTTGTGTCTTTTCCGTTTTTGTTCCACAGTGTCTCCTTTAGCACCGTTTCCATTTGATCTTGTTGCGAGAAAGTTAACCCCGAGCAACGCAAAACTAAGTCTATATGATAGTTCTCGATCAAATGAATTGACTGAATGTATAGAGGTCGAACTGGCATTTCAGCTTTTCTTAAATGGTAACAAGGTTATTCAAACGTAAGGTTTGTTCATTTTCATTTCATATATTAAATATTGAATATTGTTTGAACTTAGAATGTGCCCTAGATTAACACACAAAGTATTCAACAAGCAGGAACTCTTTAACCTTTTCAGTTAGATATTCAAATTCATTTTCATTATGGTTATAATGGTGATTTGTGTCATTGTTGCTTTTATCCTTTTGCCTCAAAAGTACGAGAGTTTCCCATTCTACGCACAGTAATTCTCGTCATTAATTACGACATATATACGACAGAAGTATATAACTGTCGTATACGACAGAAGTATATAAAGAAACCATAAATTCTCAAAAGATCTTTTTCATTCTCGCGAAAGGGCTTATAAGCCGGTTATCGTTTTGTTCTTTTGTGTTTCATTTTTCGTTCATTTGTTCTTTCACATATTGGAATACGCGAAAGTTAAAAAGGTACTCGAATTAAGCAGTATTTAATCGTTTCCTTTCGTGCGTAAGGACAAAAGGATGCGGATTAAGAAGTCTTCCTGAGCCAAAAATGAAAAAATAGGTTTCATAGCAAATAAAAAAATGTACAAGTTAAAGAATAGTCCAATTTTACCGGTATATTGTATCAAGAATTGCACCATTCATACAAAGTAAACGGATTTAGAATTCTACCCAGATTTCATATAAACCCTTTTCGATCCAAGAGCTGATATGTGCGTCTAAGCCTCGTGTGATCGTTCTGGTTCAATTGTTCTCTCAATTAGCACTGAATGTAAACCAATATGCAATGTTCTATTCAATATATATATCTTATAAATGTCAAGCCGTACAGTGAAACCGACGTTAACTCTACAAGTGCCGTAAGGACGTTGATGTAAAAACCATACTCACATGTGGTAGTGTTGTAAAGGCAAACATGACAAACGCCGTTGAGACGTTGATGTAGAACAAGACGCGCAGAAACGTGAAGTAAGACGCAACGTTACTTCCAAAGTAGGCTGGATAATAAAGTTGAAATAATAGTTGATTTTTATGAATTTCAAACCCAGATCATTTTTCATATTCGAATAACTTTCATTCGGAAAACAGAATACTCCCAATTTAATTTGAAAATATTTTTGTTTTATTAATTTAGTTTTAGACAACACATTCTGTTTTGGAAACTCTGGAATTCCTTAAATATTTTCTAAAAGATGCCTTTTGAGATAAATTCAAACTTAAAATGTCTGTTGACTTCCTCGTATAAGGTAGTACATACAATATAAAATAAAATGCCTGGGAAGGGAGATAGTTCTAACACAAATATGCTGTGCAAAGTAGTTTTAATTCATAATTTCGGTCGAGTCTTTATGTGCAAAAGAATTTATAAATACAGTAGGAAACAACTATTATTGTAATCTCAGCCACTAGTGTAATCGTAATGAAATGTTAGTCTGTGATTCGTGTTTTGAAAAATAAACAGGATATTGATTTTGGTAGTGGGTTATCGCTTACCAGCTATGTCTTTGATTGGGGTTTCCCACAGCTGAAACACCGAACTCAAGTTGTTTCTTGTCTAAAAAGAAGAAAACAATGCATAACTCGATGGAAACTTTCATCATATGTACAGTTTAAGGGGGAAAATAAATGTATTGTATCGTCATAGTAATTTTACAGTTTTAACATTGTTTTGATTTACCTCCTTCGTTTTTCAGCCCAAGAAACGATCGTCCATGTTACCAAACACAGGTACGATTATTATTCCAGCTTTACTATTATCAGTAATTGATCATTCTAGGATAAATATCTATGAATTGTACGAGGTAAATTGAAAGAATATACACGTACCTGGAGTTAGAATAAAAGAATATATAATGTGAATTCAAAGACACTTGAGATATCTGATTTTGATTATTGGAAAACACGTAGAATACACTTTGCAGAAATAGATTGATTATAATCTTAAAACATCGTCGACATCAATTTAATAAACATGCTTTCTAAGCATTATATGTTGTAAACTAATGTTCGTTATGATGAAAAATTACCCCTCATTGTGGAAGGCGAAAAAGGTGAAAATGAAACAGCGGCGAAAATTTCTCAGTTTACAGTTATGAGATGGAATAGCCAAAATAATTATGAAACATAAAATAAAACCAATCCTTCGTGATACATTAAAAGAACATAATGTGAGTCAATGTATCTATGATTTTGTGATTTTACAAAAGCTCGTAGTGCGATCCACAGTGATTAGAATAAGTTTCAGCTCGTGCATGTAATTGCTTATTTACAATTACGTGTATTTTCTTGGGAACAACATGGTATCTTTCGCTGTAATCTACATCGTTTTAAGCTTTTTAGCTTTCGTAAAAGACTTGATTATATTTCTTTAACTCGTTAATAATGTTCTGTATGCGTTTCACGTTTCCCGTCCTCATATGACCCTGGCCGTTGCGAGCGCGTTAAACCCAAACCAAACATACTGGTGATACTGTATTCTACTCATGTAAACTGTGACTTCAGGCCAGTGTTCGTGGAACGCACGTGACATTATCCGGTTTGACCTTCCTCGAGGTGCTGTCGACACAATGGTAACATGGAACTAACTCCTACTACTTATTACTAACCTTCCCAGTGCTAGTGCACTGTCCTCTGCTCTCACGACGAACATGGAACTAACTCCTACTACTTATCAATAACATTTCCAGTGCTAGTGTACTGTCCTCTGCTCTCACGACGAACATGGAACTAACTCCCACTACTTGTTAATAACCTTTCCAGTGCTAGTGTACTGTCATCTGCTCTCACGACGAACATGAAACTAACTCCTACTATTTATTACTAACCATTCCAGTGCTAGTGTACTGTCCTCTGCTCTCACGACGAACATGGAACTAACTCCTACTACTTATTACTAACCATTCCAGTGCTAGTGTATTGTCCTCTGCTCTCACGACGAACATGGAACTAACTCCCGATACTTATTACTAACCTTTCCAGTGCTAGTGTACTGTCCTCTGCTCTCACGACGAACATCGAACTAACTCCTACTACTTATTAATAACATTTCCAGTGCTAGTATTGTCCTATGCTCTCACGACGAACATGAAACTAACTCCCACTACTTATTACTAACCTTTCCAGTGCTAGTGTACTGTCCTCTGCTCTCACGATGAACATGGAACTAACTCCTACTACTTATTACTAACCTTTCCGGTACTAGTGTAATGTCCTCTGCTCTCACGACAAACATGGAACTAACTCCTACTACTTATTACTTACCTTTCCAGTGCTAGTGTACTGTCCTCTGCTCTCACAACAAATATGGAACTAACTCCTACTACTTATTACTAACCTTTCCAGTGCTAATGTACTGTCCCCTGCTCTCACGGCGTCTATGACTTCCACGCTGTAAAACCCTGATATAAAATGTAAGTTTGATATGTTGGCTTGAGTGAATATAATTAAATATGGTTTTCTTGAAATTTCAATCTAATATCCGAAATAAAATTATGTCTCTGGCTTGTCTTCCTTAACAAATACATAAATCATATTTAATTAATATTTTGTCGTAAAGTATATCTTGAAGTTATTAATATTTTGTAGAATTTAGCCATTGACAATGCAATTATGAAATTATGGAGGAAAATATTTTATATACTTTAAACCATTTTGCTAACCTCTGAAATATATATATATATATTACATTTGCAAGTACATGTACAATATCCATGCATAAATTACGAAATAAAACATTTTAAAGTTAAACTGGTTGATTTTTATGCTAATACCTTACAGAATTTCATTACATTGGAGGCATGTTATACCAAGACAGGTATACTTAATAGACGATTTCACAGGCTTAACTTTCGAGTTTTTAAAGACAGTATTTTATTAAAAGAGAAAACTGAGATAAAGGATTTTATCAATCTAAAAAAAGCTATCTTTCATATTGTTACAGATTTTTTATGTAATATCAGTCACAGCATGAAAATCTCGTTTATAATTTTGACCAATCAGAAAACTGATGTCCAATCACTGCATATAATTAGATGAAGATAATGTGACGGTTGCTACATATTTGTTACATCTACAAATGAATTTACTAAACTCTACAATTGATGATGTATTTCGACACGTTTGACAACATTTTGAGAACACATACATTTATTTGTAAAATAGTTCCACCATGATATCAGTGGATAACGTATTACCTACCGGATAATTTTAAGTTTTTCACGGAGAGGAAGGGAGTTTTCTTGAATCTTATCCAAAATCTTTTCTTCGAATGCTTCTTGATCTGAAACCGAAAGTTTCGACTGCGCACCCTCTATTTCTTTTTCTGCATCAAATCTGAAAATTGAAGAGCGAGGAAGTGCTTTTGTTTTCTAACGTTACGTTATAATCTTTCAAATAACGCTAAGTTGAATGTAAAGGTAAATGACTTTAAATATGAGTTCCAGAGCCCTATACTTTTTTTGAAAGAGGTATTAGTTAAATGGACCATAACAAAATATTTGTATACCAAACCGGGACCTTGCATCACCTGCCTTTCTTGAAATATCTAATTTCAATATCTAAAATCGGTCCATTTTCAAATCCGACCAACGTGAGTTTGATTGGATATTGGACTAATAAAATATAGTAATAAATAGATATTTTGTAACGGTTTATCATTTTCATGACGGTCAAAAGGAACCCCTCTTATAGGCCAATAATAAGAATCGATTGTATTTTAGGCTGTTTCCAATAACTTCTACTGCCTCTTTGTGTTGAACATTTCAAAAAGTGATAAAATATTTGCATATCAAAATTGAATTTATTTGACCATAGTACACCATTGTTTGCAAAATGACAATAAATATAACTAAAGCCCTTCAAAATTCCTTTAAAACGTTGGCCAAAGTCAATGAATGTACGTACCCATGGTTGATGAAGGCGTAATTCATACGGTACAAGAGTTCATCGGGAGACAAAGCTTCTGGCACATGCGAATGGCCATGGTAATCGACTTCCGGTTCCGGTTGTCTGACGTAACTTCCTTTAACAGAAGAACAAGACATGATTCCTCACAAATCAGACCATGTGTTGCGTGTACTGCTGTATATACAAATAGATATATTTACAAATCATGCATATGCGTATTATTAGCGAAAGCGTATTCATTGAGGCTTAAATGTTAAATCAATTATCTTAATTTATGTATTTCCAGTTTCGACCTGATATTTGATATTGACGCAGTAATTTATCAGCTTAAGTTTTCTTTTATCAGAATTATCAGACACAGACCATTATCCTATATAAAATTCAACAAAATAAAACCGACGAATACAGTGACAATTCTTAATGGATAAACATCTAGTTCTCTTCTCTATAGTATCCAATAGGATAAACAACACGAATACAAAAACTGTATTTCCCAGCGACATAAGCACTGACCGATGTTTATTTACAATCATCATGATTAATAAACACAATTACACAATAATGTACATCTTACACACCAACATAAAACTCCTAACCTATTAATCTCAATATAATAACCCCATTTAAAAATTAAAAATAAATTCATGTGTGCTTCTTGTTACCTGTGTCGCCTGAATGACACGTTTAGGTAACAACCCAGACCATTTGCACGTGCAAATACCACCAATAGCGCCACCTATTGGTGTTTCTCATACACAAGAGAAAATAATTACATCCTTATTCCTACCGTCAACCGGTTGAAATTATATATATATACTACATGTAAAATGAACGTAAGACATGCACAGGTGAGTTCACCATTAACATTTGATAATATCTACAGTATGTCAAACACTATTTACCCATGTAGCAACTGCAACCTCCGTTCGTACTGATGCTATAAGAAATTTTCTACAATACTTCAATTCAATTAATCTTACAATGTAATTTCATTTTGAAACGTTTATTGTTGCAAAGAAACGGCAAAAGTTCATAAAGATGATGTTACCGCGTACACGATAACATTGGGAGACGGAACATGGCATGTAGAGGGGTACTGTAACCTCAGTCTCATCCTCGATACTTCATGGATTACGCTCCCTTTCACACTCTGCACCCCTAGAATATGTCGTAGCAAAATTGAAGGCACGCAACTAGTTGTTTGATTGGTCTCAGGTAAAAATAAAACCTGACCAATCGCTAAGGCTTATACCTGTCCTTTCTTTTGATGTATATCAAAGGATCAGACTGGTTTTCTCGTCCCATCCACAAGGTGGTGCACACTGGGCTTCGATTTTGCTATGACATATTCCAGAGGTACAGAGAGCGAAAGTGAGTGTAACCCTGTAGTATCGAGGATGCCTCAGTCTATGTTTATCTGAAAATCGAGACAGCAATGTTGTGATGGAAGAGAATGCAGAGCCGGTGAAAGATAGGGTAGGGAAGAATGCAATGGAAATGGTGAGAACTACAAATGGCCTACAAACACCGAAAAGGCATTAAGGCACCAATTAGATGTTGACCAGTCCTGGAGATGAAATACAAAAAGGACGGTTGACAAGAAGGTAAACTGAATGACTGAGGAGAACATCAAGGAAACTAATACCAGCAAAGCAAAATGGAAAAATCAGGCAATCCCAAACACACGGATTCAGCTTTGCAATCTGAAAAGCGTTTTCTTCTTAGCAGACAAGGATGATAAACATCATTTGAAGCAGCTAGTAGTTGTGAGAAGGAGAAATAGACTATTATAAACGGACTACAGATTGTATCCTTTGTGAGGTATCATGACCGATTAAAGAATAGCAGGATCGTGAAAACAAAATATGAATTGGCCCTGAATGACTCAAATAGTCGATAAGCTGCCAAAAGGGCTGTGTGTGCAGTTTTTTCAAGTTGTTGGGCAAAATGCTACTAAAGCTGACGGAAAGACGGCGATCGGGGCAATGTGAAAAACAAGCATAATCAGCATCACAGTAGAAACACCATTAACTGAAGCTGCAACAAAAGTGCCACTAGTGCAGCTGCTGTGTAAGTCAATCATCCTTAGAATTCTGGCTAGTTTCGACCACAGACATTGCCGATATCGTAGATATTGTACATGTAGCCATACAAGGATGTCCGACCTATCACCGTGCTGACATTAAAGCATGTTATCTTATTGTTTGTGAGAATTCACAGGAACCACAAGTGAGCAGGCAGGGGTGTTAATGAATTTCTTGCTGAAACATTATCACGAACTTATTGATTTAAAAATGTATAACACTAGCATTGCAAGATAAAACTGTACACGTCTTATAAAGCATTAATGTGAAATCGAGTGCAATACATGTTGCTCCGATATTTTCACATGAAGAACTAATATAATACGTACTGTTTCTAAGGCCGCTGTTTTGGGACGATAACGGGTCCGTGTTTCTCCCGATCAGAAACTGCCTTTCTGCGTCGGACTCATCCATATTTTAGAGTTTCCCTGGAACACCTAAGGAAGCAAAGGTCAATAAGCTTATCGAGTTGATAAATCACTTTAATATAAGCAACAATTGAAATGAAAAAGTGAACATTAAAATTTGTATATCGACATTCATTTATATTTACATTGAGTTTTCTGTTTGAACTAAGATATCCATTGATCTTAATTACCTCCCCTGATATCGAACAATCAAACTTACTTCCCCGACATCCATAATGCTATGTATCTTCATTGATGTCTAATATTATAATTTATTATACTTACTGAAGGGAAACACGCTTGTTTCTTTCTCCGAAGTTAATCACGTTTCACGACGAGGGCGAAGCCCAAGTGAAACATGATTAATCGACATGAAGCTTAATTTGAACATGAAGCGAGGAGAAACAAATAATCTTGCTTCCCTACAGCAAGTAAAATTATCATTTAATTATGCAAACAGGGGGAAAAAAGAGGGATTATCAGGTTGACACGTCTTGGTTGTCATCTGCCTTTGGCATTCGGAAATAGGTTGTGGTGGCTTTTGCGGATTTTTTTGAGAGGCTTCGAAAAAGGCAAATATGACTGGGGAAATTTGAACGCAGATATGATAATCTAGATTATTTCCCTTTATATCAATTAATTATAATTAAATCCCTTGATTTCAAATTATTGAACTTTACCCCCCTGATATCCAACTATGATATCAGCCACCTATATATTCAATAATCTTACTTATCTCTCCAGGTTTGCTGCTTGTCACAAATCGTTATTGTTTTCCCATATCCATTATACTTGCTTAATTCCCAGATAACTATTCATCTTTTCTACCTCCCTGAGTTAACATTGTGTAAGTCTCGTTTTGTTTCGATACATTTTCTCCAATCCTGAGCTCATTTGCACTTTAATGTTTTCTCCATATCTTTATTTAAGGATTGAATCCTGCTTTGGTCGATTTCATAGGGTGATGAATTGAGTCGATCTTGAAACAAATTTAATGAACTACTGTTTCAAGACCAGCTATATTCATCACCCCATGAAATCGACCAAAGCAAGATTCAATTCTTATATTTCAATCAACGTGGGTTTTTTTCTCTCAATAATTGGTACTTGTGAAGTCCATTCTGATCAGTTTGTCCACCGTTCTGGAGCTTATGCAAGTCTACGTATTGACGTAATGTAAAAAATATAGTCCGTCATTGAAGGACCATCATACAACATGATGGTGTACCCTGATAATTTAAATACAGCCAAATTATGTAGAAACAAAACACAAAACCATGTTTTAAATCGCGAAAGAATAATGTCTAAACACGGTGCGCAGGCTCAGCTGCGAGTCTACGCGTACGGCGACCATCTTTTTACTAGCTCGAAGTAGAGAGCCGCCAAATTTCAAGGTTCTACATTTTCTGGAATGTGAAGCTGCAGTAATTGAATGTCGAAATAGACAGGAAACCAGACGTGGCTGGAAAGGTCGAAATAATTTGATATGGCAGTTTTTGAATGCATTTCATATCAGACAGGACCACATGGATTTACGTTGTTTTCTATTTGTACCGGGGGTTGATGCTGACACAAGAGGCAGAATGGGCAGCTGGAGGGAGAACCTGTCACTACTGCTAGCAACCGTGAGCTGATAATAGTTGATCGCTTTTGGTTGTTTGTACAATTTAGTGTGTAGCTTCAATATCAATGTAAAATCTCATCAAATGGTATCTTCTTTGTTTAAGCATGTCAATAGTTATCTCCATTCGCATAATCATACGCACAGGCAATGTTTATTTTGTCAAACCCATCTGCAATTGAAACAGGTTGCATTTGGTTACAAAATTGATCTGCTGCCCCCATTGCACTTGGGATTATTTCCGTTTCCTATCTTTCCTGTCTTCTTTCTTCTCCTTCTACTTTCTGTTTTAGGGCACCCGTCCTCATATGACCCTGGCTATGTTAAACTCCAAACAAACAAACAAACCTACCCAAATCACCATGCACCTCACCCCTCAGGCAAGGGATCGAGAAAATAGTACATCTGCTGTAACCCGCAGCATGTATCGTAAGAGGCGACTAATGAGGGAACCCCCTGCAGAATTGGGGATATGCTTTTTTGCCTCTATTTGTGAACACAAAAGCGACCAAAATAAATCTGCTGCACCCATTGCAGCATTTGGGATCTTTATCTTTCTTTCTACTTTTAAATACGGTTTTCTTCGCTTCTGGCTTTAATGTTGAGCGCTCCTCGAGGCGAGGAATGCAAAGGGTTCTGTCCCAAGGACCGGACATACCAACGTCCTGAAACATGGTAGTTGTTGTTTCCTGCTTGACGTTCAGAATTGAGGGGAGGGCAACAACTGGTTCACCCGATGTCAGTATAATGTGACCGGACGGAATGTTGTGCTGGGTGTTTCAGTGAGATAGCACCATAAAAGTCGGCATCAGATCCGCGCTATCATAAGGAGGCAAGTACAGCATATATATCCTGTCTCCAGCACACATACACACTTGCCACTTACACAACACACATGAAGGCACGTCCTGAAATTACCTTAGCTGTTAATTGAACGTTAAACAAAATATAACCAAACCAAACCATTCACATTGACTACCTCCCCTGATCATTTTACCTCCATCACCCTCTTTGATGACAAATTACCCTTGGTTACCTCCCCTGATCACCACTCACATTGATCAGCTGCCCTTATTCATGATCATTATTCACCTGATAAATTCATCTGATCACATATTACCGTAATTACCTCCCTGGTCACTCTTCATCCTAATTATCACGCCTTTTCACTACGTAACATTTTCATATATATACTTAAATACGTGCAAACCTAAATAAGAAGCATACGGTCCTTTGACTTATTTCTCTTACAGGGGAAAAAAGGGACCATGATTGTATGGAAATTAGAATCTTGAGTTCTTTGTTGTCGTCAAACCGACGGAACAGCATGTATATTGAAATACGTACGGATAACATGACATAATAGAAACACAAAACCAATTAAATTTCGTACCTGTGCAGGGGTCTCATTAAAAATTGACTATTTACAGTAGCTGTGCCTTTTGTGAGCTGAGTAAAGTGTGGTAAACAAAATGCCGTTAGAGTACAGGTGCGTTATTCGAGCTGTTCATTATCTATTTATGTAACGGTAGATCACGTCAGACATGTACTTCTCCTGGCCGTATATAGAAATCGTACTCTTAGTTAAGTTGAATTTGTACTTGAAAAGGTGACATAATCGATGACGACTTACCTGTAATTGTGATGTTTTACCTCGCCATTATAAACAGATCCCAATGTTGTAGTAACATTTGATACAAAACGTCCTAAATACAGGTCCTAAAATATAGCCCACTTCATCAGCATTGCCAACTTTATCAAACATAATTGTATTTCAAAAGCAAATGTTTCAAGTTCAAAATTAAAAGTCATTAAAATTTTCAGCAACATATATTGGATTTTCGATTTGAAATGGTGAAAGATAATTAAAAATCATTAAATGTTGTCGTTTCTTTTTTTTCTTCTAATTATTTTATTAAGTTGACAATGCTAGTTATATATTTAGACCAGTGTAATCTAATCAGGAAATAGATTATCAGTGATGAGACATACCCGAGTGACAATGTATTGATTAGACACAATGTAAATATCAATGCATGTTTGTTATCTAATGCCAGCGAGATTTTCGTTTCAGTTTTAGTAGCGGGCTGTGTGTCAATTTTGTTTGTTTGTTATTGTTTTTCTGTTGTTTTTTTTGTAATTTGAATATATAAAAATGAAATAAAAACCGAACTCTGAATATGAATTATACCACATTTGTTCAGCAGTATTAACTTAGAAAATCCTGTTTCTGTGTAACTGGTCCAGCGATCCTTGTGCCTCCCTTGAACCACCAAAACTAATTGTCGGGTATTTTTAGCTACATGCTACTTGTGCGACCAATTAGCCACATTCCTGCCTCCGTTGTACTTCCCCTGTGGGACTGACGGCAATCAACGTGATTAAAACCAACATAGGCAACTCCCCAGCGATGATTGGGTAACCATTGAGCCTTCTCAGTGGCTCCTCTATGCCATCATCGGCGACCAAGGAGGCACAAGGGAGGCAGAAAAATCACCCTGATTGTCGGTAAATTTTGCAATAGAACGTATCTATTACTTGGCGACAATTGGCCGGCTTTTGTGCATCCATTCTGCAACCACAACAATGCTTGTGCCTCCATTTTGCCTCATTTGAGCCACCGTTGAGCAACCAACCTCCTTGGCGACCTTCGTACGACTGTTTTGAACGTGTTCAAAAATTGGCGTTGTCTGAACATTCTGTGTACAACCTTTTCACGACCTAGGCAACCACTCCTTTGAACCTCCAACGGCGACCGGATCAGTTATATGATCGCATAAGAGAGACCCAAAAGTCACCACCCTAGTGTACCGACGCGTCCTCAATCTAGTATCCAAGCCGAACCTACACTCTACACCCTAATCTCATTAATGAGTTGTCACAATAAGGTGACATAAGTCCTTAAGAGCACTTTTTAAAATCATCTCTATTATTGAAAACTAATAATATATACAATGAATTAAGGTTTATAAGATAAACTTGTTCATTGGCGTGTCCAAGCTTGCTGAGTTGGCAGTGTGCAGCCTTCGACAATCATCATTTAATTCACTATTAGGTGTTACACTACATGTTTTATTATCTCGAAGAGTTGTTGGAGGCCCACTCAACCAGAGTGTATTCTCAAGTCTTTATAAAATGGTGTATTTCCCACTGTGTCAAACAATTGTTTGTAACTGACTCAGAGTAATAATCTCTTGCCCTGGGTTCGACACCTAACGGATCCCGGAGACACTGGGAAAAAGTCACCTCGATTTTAATGACAACTCACTTTTTCTTTCCACGTTTTTAAACAGACAGCATGGCCTTAATGCCTTCAAACTAAATTATCCAGACTAAACGGGAGTAGAGTCGGTCATGCAGTCAATCAACGAATCGCTTGTGTAACGAGATTCGGAATCCTCTCTTGTTTACATTTGAACATGTGAGAGTTTCGATTAAGCATTTGAAACGTTTATATAACTTAAAACAAAAGTGTTTTCGTTCAAAATAGTTTCCAACATCGTTCATATCAAACGAATAGGTCGGCAATCCAGTCCTATCCCTTACCAAATTGATAGTATAATGGGAGATAACTCGTGTTGATCTATTTCATTCCTTTTAAATTCGTTGTTGTATTTTTATACGGTATTTTAATTAATTACCTCAATAAATATAAATTTCCTAAAACACAACAGCACATCGAAAAAACATGTTGGTTTTGTTTTTTGTATATGTGTGTTGACAGTTTGCTCTAAGATCATAGTCGAGACTTTGTCTTTTGTGACCATATGCTTTTTTTATTATGTCTGCAAGGTTCAAGTTTGGAACAGAAAATATCACATTTACATAATTGAACAGCTTTATTTTAGAACAAAATAAGAACCATTCATTTTTGTTTTTATTAAACTGGCAATGAGACTTGATTTAAGTATTTCCGTGATGGTGAAATGACTGCATTCTATTTCAAACTTTAAAATTTGCCCAGTTTGCAAGAAATTTACATGTAATTATTTCTATTTAGACGAAAATGAATAAAATATTCTTTGCTTTGTTTTCACAGAAACTGCGTTATTTGGTAATTAAGACTGAAATATTTCATATTGATTTCATTGTTTTCTGTTTTAAGTTTCCTCAAATGATATATCCGATCCTTTTTTTCTTTCTTACTAAACACTGTTCGTACATAATTCATGCACAGTAGCGTATATTCTAGTGTATATATTGCTACTTGTTCTTTGTGGTATAAGTGTATGCAATTTAAACATAATATATACGGATATACGTATAGAAGCTGTCAAAAGCATGTGACCTTCAGTGACAGGTATACAGGTACGACTACCTGTAGATATACATGAGTATCTACCTGCGTTATCAATCAGGGCGATCTCACGCCTTGTAATATAACGTTATTGACCTATATCTCTTTTGTTGATATCAAATACCTGCCGATCCTTGAACCAGGTATTGAATCGATTCCGTGACTACGCAAGACAACACAAATGTTTAACTTCAATTAGTGTACACTGTTTGTTCAGACACAGCTTTAAAGTAACTAATTCATTACGTTTGAGTTAATCAGGTTATAAATCTTCACATATAGAGTATACATTGAGTTTACGCACTTCTATGTGATGATATAGGTATTGAAGCTCGTGTGATAACGTTTCGATTGTTCAGGATATCTCATTTACCGTGCGTGTGTCTTAAAGTTGAAAAGCCAACATTTATGTTTGGGATTTAAATATTCAAGGAATGGACACGAGTGGACGCTCTAGACGATACTAAGTGAGGGTTAAAGGCCTGCATTTAAATGTCTGATGTTTTTGAAAGGTCTTAAGGCATATCACTAAGATATTATCAAAATGGAAAATTACTTTGAAAAAATGCGACGTGAAAATAAGAGTCGAATGAAAGAAACGATGGTGGACAACCGGAGTTATAACGCTAAGGTAAGTAATTGTCAACTGATCTTGTGTCATTGGACTGGTTCCCCGGGGGGTCGGGATTTATGGAGGGGGATGTTGAAGCTGCATGACCCTCCTCCCCTGCCAAACTTCTGAATTGTCATGCATGGTTTCTTTATAAAATTATTTGCGTAGGCTGAGTCCTGCAAATACATATTTACTATACACCCAAGCGTTATGATCCGGAGAAACATTTACACTAGTAACGCTATACTCTAATATGGTTGTGCTGGAAAGAAACTGTTCTATATTACTTATGAAAACTATTTGAACGTTGAAATGATCGTTGATAGTGTTTGGTTAAAAAACGCTTCCATTAAATTTACAAAATAATGTCCAGAAATTGATAAACGGGTATTTGATGAGATGATAAAAAAATAGCCATACATTATTTTAAAAGTATTATTGCACCTGAATTTACGTATACACTGTTCAGCGGATAGGCCACATTGTCATGCCTGTTTAAATTTTCATTTATTCGTCAGCCTAACTAGTTTTACTCAACAATATATTTTCTTTAACTATGAGTTCATCATACTTAATTCCGATACATTGATAAGCTAGAAACCAGAGACGTAACAGGCTAGAGAGAAAGTTCTCCGTCAAAGTTTTCAAGTGTATTCAAAATCCTGGTTTAGTTCCTCGTTTGTTTGATAATCCAAAACCTCTAGAAATTGAAGAGATAAAATCAAAACACGAATTACGAAAAATACTATTCATCATTACAGTCTAAGAAAATCATGCAGATCATTTATCACCACTTACAGATAGACGCCACACAAACAGCATCACACGCAGATATAATTTGTAGACGCCGGCACACCCTGGGCCCGTATTCATGAAACCGTTCTCATACGGATGTATGCATTCTATGCTCAAACAAGTATTCTTGTAACTGGCCTAAATCGATCAAATAGTCCAATGTAAACATCGAAAACAGTATTAGGCTCCAAGTCTCTCTAATCTTCTTCAAAATCATTGACGAAATAAGATATTTTTATCAATTTATAACCAGAAAAAGAAATTGGGCTTGAGCACATATTCTCCCACCCTTCACAGGCGTGTCTCCCGTTTTAGCCGGGAAAGATCAGCTTGTCACCCCCTAGGGGGAGATAACCTCGTGCCGATTAGCACTTGTTCGATTGTGACGTCATTAAAATGCGTCACCGGTAATTGTGACGTCATCAAATGTGAATGACGAAATTCATACCCCAAATATGTTTTTGTTTTCACTATACCGTCGATGGAGTTGTAACTGAAATAAAAGGATGGGAGGAAAACAATCATCCCCTACCTTCAGGGTGTGACAGAGAAATCTCCAACCCTCGGGTGATTTTTTTGGTTATCTTACCCTCGGCAGAGCCTCGGGTTAGACAACCAAAAAACATCACCCCTCGGGTTGGAGATTTCTCTGTCACACCCTCAAGGTATATAGGGGAAGATTCTATTAATCCATGTTTGAGCTTGAAAACAGTTTCATGAATACGGGCCATGTAAATTGACATACACACTTATTTAACGTCATACCAAAGACAGCATAGAAAGACGAGGCTAGCTTTATTTTGATACCGAGCACGCACACCCTTTATAAAGCATTTTGTATAAAGAATATCCGTACACACCTTCCATAAAGCAATGTTTCGTTTCCGCGTCATTAAGTATCGCGTTTCAAACAGGTTTCTTAAATCCGAAAATTCGTTCATTTCCGCATTTTCCTTCTTTTGTTATTTCTTTTTCAAATCGTGTCAAAGTACACAGTACATATACGTTTTTGCTTGTCCTTGATGTATGTTCATAGTGTTTTTCAAAAAGACCTTTAAATGAATTTTAATGTTAAGTTGTGAAATCCGACTGCTAGATCTTACAAACTACAGTGTACTTACGGCTTTGACACCTGCTAGTATTGGTTATATTGAAACACACTACAGGCGTAGTCGGTTAGGCCAAGGCCAATCATTCGGAGGGTAGTTAGTTTTGTCCGCACAGCCATTAACAATTTTACACTTACATAATGCAAAATCATTATTAAATATTTTTATGATCGAACAAGTATGCCACATGTTAAAGTTTTACATGTATAATCGAAGCATTTTGAGATGGTAAGATAGCAACATCGCTAACGCTGTGACATAAGTTGAGCAAATAAGAAACCCAAGTGGTGATGTAATAGCGCTGAACTATGAATAACTCATACGATATTAAAGCTATATCAAAACAAGACAAAATCAATAGGTGCGATGTTTCTGTATAGATATGCCCTCTTAAGAAGGAAGTATATACCGTAGCATTCCCTTTGAAGTACTGGAAGCTGTAATGTAACATGATTCTGATCTAGAAAGCCGTGAATTCTTCAAAAGCAGGTAAAACACAAAAATCCAATAACATGTTGATCAATAATCTACCAACACATCACACACGTCACTTGGGCATAAACCGTTAAACTATATGCGTACACTATATAACCGTCATTCTAACCAAGGTGCATTCCGGATAGACGCTCGCAAATCTCCGATGACTCCGCAACTCTCCATCACGCGTTAGTGTGCGAGTTACGAGCCACCCGAGGAGTTCCGATTGTCGTTTTGGGAGTAAAACTCGGAACTTATCGTAGGTTTACCATTATGGAGAGCGTTTAAGGATCCCTTTTCTACTGTACCTCCATTTTCCTATATATACAGTTAATTACCTCCCCTTCACTTCCGTTTAGATATAACTGTAGCACAGTTTGGACAGGACGCTTCTGTTGACAGGGTATCTCAGTCGGTTAGAGCGGTAGTACAAAAATATATATATATCAACCTGAAGTCTAGGGTTCGAATCCCGGTCTATTCTCGCTAAATGTTTACACTCAGGACACTGTTGTTTGTTAATTATATTTTGTTTATTTCATCTTGATTATTTTTCATGAAAGTCCAACAAGGTATAATCGGGTTTTNGGGGGGGGAAGTTTTCAACACTTGCAGTGTAGTTCCATTTTTTTGCAGTGCTATGGGGAGTCTTAAACGCCTTACTTAATTCGGCAGTTTATACTCTTTTACCTGGAGTGTGTAAAATATATTGATTTGAGCTAGTGAACAATGTACAAGCATTTATAGTATATTGTTGTTTCTTTCTCTATGTTTTACTCAAACTCCATAGCTATCGATTTTCAAAAATCAATACATGTATCGAATCAATTACATACATTAATATATTGATTATATTTTTATTCTGATGTGCTGTAAAAGAGAAACATAAAAGTTACATGTAACAGCAATGCTCCATGGATCGAAGTTAAAAAACATCCGTTCGTGAAAAAATGGAGAACCCTCCCTCCGGAACGAAGGTTCCAGACACGGCTTTAATATCAGTGATGAAAGGATGTTTGATTTTATATTGTGATGCGTAAATTCATCATGCAGCGTGAAAAATTGCTGAAAATAATCACTGAAAATCAAAAGGTTGAAGTATTTGCTACCTGAGCAAATTGACATTTGCTGGTGAAGTTATGAATGATGAAAATCAACAACAGGATAGCTGACAGTAGCACGAATACCTACTGTCAATAGATATATTCTGTTATATAGCACGTGGCATGCCCCTGTGACATCACACATCGCCTTTGAGACCTCCCACCTCTCCCTTTCAGCTTAATTTGTATGTGCCCTGCAATTCGAAACTTTCTTTATGTACGTATATATCTACAAAGATTAATTGTTGAGAATGTTAAGCAATGAAAAGCTTTTCAAGTATACGTCCTGAGAGTCGAAACCCTAATCGATAGGGGGATAAATCCTGTTTGATGGGATTTTAATTCAACTTAAATCTAGTTAGGTAGGAAATATTGATGTACGGGTAAAGGATAGTACTCGACACAGATAAATACCATCCTAGTTTATGTTACCACACAGATATTGGTATGATAAGATCTGGCCTATCTGTTTATACCTTATGGTATGTGTGGACTCGAGAAATATAAAGGTATGCATGGTATATAAATGTAGACAATACATATAACTTCACAAATAAATTCTAATCATGAACAACCAAGAACGAACTATTCCGTCTTTGCGTATTGCAGAGTTATCTTCTCTTGTGAGCAGGTATTGATTGTTACGTCATTGGTTTGTGTGAGAAAATTACATCGTTTTCTCAAAAATTGATGATGTTACTCTCACAAATCAATGACGTAACAATCAATACCCGCTCACAAGAGAAGATAACTCTGCAATTCGAAAAGACGGAAATATACAAGTACTGTTCTTCTCTATGTCAGGGCTGCAAAACGAAAATATACAAGTACTGTTCTTCTCTATGTCAGAGCTGCCTTAGCCTTCACATGCGTACCAAAGTTTTATACAGCCCATTAGAGTCCATAGATTAGCCATTACATACTTTACCAAGTTTTGGTCCTCACTATTGTTATACAACCCAGTCCATACCTTAGTCTGTAGAGTCAAATATTAGTCCATGCATAGACCTATGCAACACTTTTTTCAATACATTAAAAAAAACTTTGAATAAGTTTTGAGCCCATATGCAAATGTAGTCCCAATCGGAAACCGTCGGCACTCTCCGTAAACGAGAAAATATTTCTCATTTACGGAAAGCGCCGAAGTTTCCCGACTGGTTTAAGTCCATCTTTTTGGGCAAAGGTATTGTTTCAAAACTGGCCTCACTATTGTACGATCTTCCACTGAAACAACTCAAACTAGTCCTTTTCTCATCCTGCTACATGTAACCCTAGATTCAGTTAATGTCTGATAAAATTTAAAATATATTTTGTCCATTACCTTTTCCTATAGAACACAATTTCAGTCAACATCTTTAAATCACCTTAATCCCTATATCTCATCCTGCTAAAAACAAACTGTGTCCATGCATTTAGGGCTTTAAAACACATTTCAGTCTTTATCAAGTCACGATATTAGTCTATACATCGCATTATCAGTCAACAGTTTAGCATGCTAACGCATATTTAGTCCACATTTATGCATTCCACTTAG